AAAGTTGCATAATAAATTAAGACTTAAAAAATAAAAATAAAACAAAAAATTAAATTAAATAAATCTAACTTTTAAAAAAGTTGGCAAATTTCAAGCCAATCTATCAAAATATAGTAAGGGTTATAAATCATAAAATATAAGGGATACAATATAATAAAGATATATAGAATATATTAGATATATAAGAATATGTTTCTACAACTTTCTACAAAGTAAATTTATGTTTTTTAAAGGATGTTTAGATATTTTACTGGTAAACAAAAAAATACTGATTAAAAATAATTTTTGAGGTATGCGGTAAAGTTATCTTAATATTTGGCTAGTCTGATCCTTCATCTAAACTGTGTTCTGATGAAGTACAAATGCAGGGGGAAAGGAGTTTAACTTTAATTAAACTTAAAGTTGAACTATAAACATTTTAAAACTTCAAACAATATTCTTTCCACAGAAGAAGAAAGAAAATAATACAGGTTTTGCATGACATGTGAATGAAGAATGAAACATTTATGGGTGAACAACTGCCCATTTAATATTGTGCATTAGATATTCATATGTACCCTTTAGTGGCAGATTTGGTACAAAGTTTATCTTTGAGGATACATCCCTAGTGACAAGCTATACAATTTTTGCACTTTTTTTGTGAAAGTGTACCTTATCAAGCTGCCATAAGTATCTTTAACACTATCAAACATCCATGTTATCCTTCTAAAACTGCAGACCCAGCTCCTTCAGCTCTCTGGTCATATATACCAACGGTGAGAGATTTTGCTCTCCTGCTCAACCAGACGAGACATGTGCATGTGTGGGAGTTGATGCATCTATCAGGCCTGAAGCAGCTGTAATGTAATGTTAACGTTCAAGACGCAAACCATGCGGCCGTCAGTCTGCCAGTCAAACATCTTCACTTCAGCCTAACAGACAGCACAGTTTCATGCCAAATCTGAAGGAACTGACACAGAAGTTCCCCTGCCCCCTTCTCACTCGCCTCGCCTGTCATCTTCTCTGTAATCACGTCTCGATATAGTTATGTTTCTGTCATTTGTTCCTTGATGCATGTAATCACCAAAACAAAAAGCCAAGCTCTGGTGAGAGGAAACATATGTGTGCATACATACATACAGATCTCTAAGCATTTAGGCAAATCACAACCATCATTTTTGTACATCCCAGCTTTTCTCCCTCCGCCCAGAACCTTTCTTTTTTTTCATGTCACATTGTTGCATGTCCTTTTGTAATTGTCACAAGAGAAAGTAAATCAGAGAGAAATAAAGAGACATGATGAAATTCATTTCAGTTGCATCTGTATTCTGAGAACACTCCAGTTTCAAAAGGAATAGCGCGAGCCTGACCTGTCTGATTTTTCTTAATCTTTTTCTTGTGCGTGGGTGTTCTTTGATGCCATCAAAATAACAGCCTCAAAATAAACAGACAATAATAAAAAATAAAAGTGAAAACATAACAATAGAGCACGCTCATGATGTGCATCCTCTATATTACTGGCACTCAGGTTAAACACTCCCTGCCATGAAAACAAGTGCTGAATATCAACTTTCCCATCTACTATATACTGTCCTGTCAATGAATGAATGAATGAATCAATGTGGCTGAAAGCTTATCATCAGGTTTGAATGGAATTAAATTCAATGCTAAATAATTGCAGTTCACCACCACACATATTAACCATTGGGCTGATACTTTTTTTAGTAACAAGTTTAGTTTTTAAATACACCAGGGGTGTTTTGTCTAACTCGCCGATTTATTCATGGAGGCGAGAGAGTGAAGTATGATTTATTAGCCCATATTGTGTTGGGCTGTTTTTACATACAGCACATTTAAGACACAACAGTGCCACCTGTATGTAGAAGACAGTCAGCACAACACAACAAGACAGGTAGCATAAATATTCCCAATTTTTTAACTTAAGTGTCTTCATATGGAGGACTAGGAGTGCCACAGTGTATTCAATAAAATACTTTTTCAAATTATACCATTTTAAATATCAATTTATACCAATTTGATTGATAATTTTGATGTATTATTTACATTTTTTTAAAACTTTTGTGTTCAGTGTTTATTTGTCCAATTCATTTTAAATATCTATTTTTAAAACATCTATTAAAGATATTTAAAACAATTATTAAAACAAATACATACAGTTTTAAACATCTATTTATGCATGTCTGATTGGTGAATTTATTATTTTACATTTACTTACTTTTTTGTTTAAGCGAATTGGTCTGAAAATCGGCACAACAGCCATGTTGCTCTGCAAAACAAGACTAGAAGTCTGAAGTTTGGGAGGTGTTAGAACATTCTACATTCTCACAGAATGCAGAAAAGACTTTATTTGAAAAGTTTAAGAATGGCCTTGAACATGGTGCAACTTTTGTATGCATGTTCTGGTTTGCAATGAGTTGTGTCTGTCTGCACAAGAGCTGAAATACAGGAAATACAAACAGCGATATAGTGATATAGCCATATATAGAACTACAAATACAGTTAGAGTTCAGTATAGGGTGTTCATAATGCTTTATTCTGACTCTTTCATAATGCTCTATATTAACCTCACAAACAGACACGCAACGCAGAGCCTGTCGTCAGTCACGAGAGTTCACAAGACTGAAGCCTATCTGAAGAAATAAAGCAAACCAACCATAAAATCATATGCATAAAATCATTATTTGTTAAATACACAGTCATATTATAGCACCAACATGAATGGTCCGTGTTGTAGTCCCCCTTTTCCCATTAAAACTCTTTTGTGAGCTGACAAATTTAAACAATCTTACATGGGACTATCATCAAGAGCAGCATTCATAAATGTACACTTACATTTTTCATTATATAAAAAATGACAAGGAAGTGACATGGTGCGGAGGCGAACACAAACCTGACATATGCACACACAAAATGATGAACTGAAGAAAAGATTATCCCTAAAAGCCCACTCATATTCCTGTCACAAATGTTGGCAATATCTAGCCAGGGACATCAGACCCAGTCAATGTCAGCAGAATATTTGCGTGAGGTCAAGTTAAGTGCAGCCAAAGAACAGAGTGCTTAGAAACATATTTAAAAGCTCAGTGCTACAATTACTCAGTTAAAGGGCTTTTAAAACTAACAAGATATTCCCACTGTTTGAGTACATGAGTGGAAATTATTTTTTTTTAAAACTGCTTTTAAAGCTAATACAAGAGTTTGAACATAACACATGGGTAATTAATTTCTATAATCTTGGGCCTCTGTGTTAAAACCATCACTTGATTAAAGCCCAAAACCTGGGCTTTAATATTTCCAACTTTTTCCAAAGACTGTTTATGAAAAAATTAACACTACTTTTCAAATCAGTAGATTTACTCATAAAGAACCCTGACCTCTTGGCACCAGATTTAAGAGCTCACTGATTATTTCCCTTTATTTCTTACTGGTGCCTACATTTTTTCATTGAGAAAGCTATTACCCAGGACAACTGATGCTACATGAAAAGGAAAAAAGCAACTCAAGAGCCTCCCTGTTGCAAAATGATAAACAACGATTCTGTACAGATGCTCAGTTTAGCATAGCAGTCGCTTTAAGAGGCAGATTGTACAACAATGAAGTCTAGCGCAGCAAAGTTGATAGCTGATTACATGTTAAAGCTGGATGTGTTCATCGGATGATTGGATCTAAACTGTACTTAATTCATTTTTTAACTTAATAAATGGTAGATTTCATCTATGATTATCACATAAATTATTATATTTACACATGATTGCGGATACAGAAAAGTTGTACACTTCGGTGTAATCCATTTTTGGATATGTATGACATCATCAAGGCAGACTTAAAGGGATAGTTCACTTAAAGGAACACTCCACTATTTTTGAAAATAGGCTCATTTTCCAACTCCCCTAGAGTTAAACAGTTGAGTTTTACCGTTTTCGAATCCATTCAGCCGATCTCTGGGTCTGGCGGTAGCACTTTTAGCTGTAGCTTAGCATAGATCATTGAATCTGATTACATTGCGCCTGCTGCACCTAATCAGACCTAACGGTCTAATCAGATTCAATGATCTATGCTAAGCTACAGCTAAAAGTGCTACCACCAGACCCGGAGATCGGCTGAATTGATTCGAAAACGGTAAAACTCAACTGTTTAACTCTAGAGGAGTTGGAAAATGAGCCTATTTTCAAAAATTGTGGAGTGTTCCTTTAAAAATGGCAAATCCGTCATCATTTACTCACCCTCACGTCGTTCATAAGCTTTCCTGTCGAACAGAACTGAATTTCACTATAAGTATTGGAACGGCATGAGGGACATGAATGACATAAATGATGACAAGATATTAATTTTGCATGAACGATCCCTTAAGTTCACCTGTCTGAAAAGGAATACAGTGATTCTGAATGCCATTTTTTGCTCAATAAAAAAATACTAATAATACAAATAATAATAACAATTACCTGAAATGCCTCAGGATGACTCTTTCGCGCATTTCCATGGTGTTTGACAGCAACATATGGTCAGAAAAGCACCTCAGCTTCTGTTCACATATACACTGTACAGTTATGAAAGAAAATTCATGTCTAACCCACATCAAAGTCAAATGTTACATTTAAAAAATAGGTTGAAACATGTCATACATTTTGTTGCAACACTAAAGTAAAGTTCAATTTGTTTACATTTGTTAATTCATTAGGTATGTAAACTAACATTTTTACAGCATTTATTAATCTGGGATAATGGTAATTTATAAATATTCTATTGTGCATTGTTAATTTATATTTGTTTATAACACCGTAATACTAATTCATGCAACTTGAAATATTAAAAAAAGTGTAAACTACCATTAAAAAGTTGCCCTTGAAGAGTGAGATTTTTAAAATGTTTTTGAAATTCTCATGCTGAGCAAGGCTGCATTTATCTGATCACAAATACAGTAAAAACAGTTATATTGTGAAATATTATTAGAATTTAAAATAACTGCTTTGTTTTAATACATTTTAAATTTATTCCTGTGATGTCAAAGTTGAATTTTCAGCATCATTACTCATCTTCAGTGTCACATGATCCTTCAGAAATCAATTTAGTATGATGATTAAGATTTCATATCAATTAGTTTTTACTGTTAGTTTTGATCAATTAAATGCATCTTTGCTGAAAAAAATAATAATTTACTTTCTTTCTTACGGACCCCAAACATATAAACAGTAGTATATGTAGTAATTATCATTAACCTAGATTAATAAATGCTGTAAAAGTATAGCTCATTGTTAGTTCATGATACCCAATGCACTGAATGAACTGAACATTATTGTAAAGTGCTTCGCATTTTCTAAGAAAATCATAAGCTGACATTTGTGTAGAATAAGAAAAGAGGGAAAAACAAGAAATTTTGGGACTAATGAGACCTCTCAGTGTATTTGGTCCACAGTAAGAAATGTACTGTACCAGTATAGTTGTTTTAATTAACTTGACTTGCTTGTTGAGAAACAGCACCTGGTATGCATTACTAGGTTTGTAATGCACCATTTTTAACTGCCTAGTAGTGTATCCTGTTTAGTTCTGATTTAGGCTGCCAAGGAGGCTTTCCAAAGATGACGTGAATGGTCCATTGCCGAGGAAAGTTGCATTTGTGCCTGTTATTTGCTGGTTGCAAAAAGGAACTGTTCATAGTTGTACCCTGCCAAAACTGTGCGTACTGTATCTGTTCAGTCAAAAGCACAATGCTGAATTCTGTTTGTTACTGATCTCCCAGGTTAACGGCCTTTGAAGTAGCTCTCAAAAAAAAAAAAAAAAAAAAATAAATGGTTCCTGGTTACAATGGTAGTAAATATCACAGAGCTGCAGTGACTCCACTTCACCAGCAGGTGGCGGAAGTTCACAGGGATTTAGACAGAGTCCATGGCTCTGAAAAAATTGGAGCTCATTTGTCTGCGACTTAATATGTTTGTTATGACGCATTTGAAAAAGCAAGATTTACACTTATAACTCATCTGCATAACTCTGGCTTGAGGACAAATAACTCAAATCCCAGAAAGCAGCTGAGATGACTTGCCATTTGATTAGAGCAGTGTTCAGTATCAAGTAATCAATAAAACGCTTGTAGACTTAAAATTAGAACAAGGAAATGTTCTGGTCAGTAAAATGTCCCAATATACAGGCAGACGAACCAGGCAAGTAAAAAAAAAAAAGGTCTGGTACTTGTCCTTAAATGACCAGAGTGTGTGGGGGGGCGGGGGGACAAAATCCTGTACTACAACAAATGAGTATGACAGTAAATACTGTGAGTGGATCCATCTGTGTGTTTATAGGGTGCAGAGACAGGTCAGTATTTGTTCTGTTTTAGCTTGTCGATGTGGTAGCAGAGCTTGAGAGCTGGGCCCAGTTTGAGTCCCAGGTACTTCATGATCATGTCACTTTTCAGGAGAAGAAGAGCATCCCCATCAATCTCCTGAAGAAGTAATCACAATGTGCACAACAGAATGTTTTACAATACTGCTAGTGAAGATGTCAAAAATCTGGTCCAAAAATGATAATTATTTTAACAGTACTGTGATAATAGAAACTAAATTATGTGAGCGGCGCAGAGTGGAAGTAGAGCTTAAAAACAACATAGTAAAGAACTTTGCTGTGAAGCAGTAATGCTACAAATATTAACTAGATAAGTTTGAAGACCAATTTTAATGTCTGAAAGTTTAAAATAACTTTTAAAAGCTTTTAAAAGTTTGAAGGCTAACATGTTTAGCACATTGATAGCATGTTGCATCTGATCTAAGTTTGGTGGTCATGGCTTGAAAGCTCTAGGATAATTTACTCTGTCAAGCCAACATGCTTGTATAATATTTATAATCCAACTTAAACTGCACATTCCACCTGGATAATCATATTCATCTCTCCCTCTATTTCTTCACTTGTAGCAAACATGTGGCGAATTACATAAATGTGAAGCTAAAGTGAACCTGCAGTGCTTTCCAATTACAATTCACACATACCCACCATACTCCAAGCACCTACTGAGATGGACTCATTTCCACGTTTAATTAAATCACAGGCTTTTGCACTTTAATAATGCACACGATTCCAATTTCAATTCGGCTAAGTGTGCAGCCCTGGATGGAAGAGTAAGTTTAATTTCATAAGTGTTAAATTGTACTTTGTTTTTGTTCTAATCTAAATAAGCAATGTGCAAAAAAGTCTCATGTAACATTCAGCTCAGGTTGTTATTTCAACAATTATGTGAACCTGAATTGCTTCTGAAAGCGTGAGTTGTGAAAACACACAGTTGATCATATGCAGGGTTTTCTAACTCGAAACTGAACTGTTACCCACACAGAGATTTCTTATCTGACGAAATGTTCAACACATGGTGTTTGTTTGCCACTAGTAAATAAATGTGTCAATCAAACTCACATGTTTTCTGAAGAGATCCACGTGAGGGCCCAGCGCTTGAGGGTCTGCATCCTTGATAAACCACACCACCTCATCCACGCTCCACCTGGAGGGATCCTTACTGGGTGGGGGCTTTGCCTCCCCTCCCTCTGGGGATGGACTGTAGGCTAGATAAAGAGAAATCAGGTTCAGAGATGGTAAGGATTTTATTCTTAGTTGCCATAAAATTTTGGGCAATTTCATTTCCAAGTTGAGAGGGTAAAAATACTGAGAAGTTAGTTGTTAATCAGTATATACCAGTGGTTCCCAACCTTATCGAATCCAAGGCCCTCCATTGTCCACAAAAGAAGAGCCCATGACTCAATTCAGTTAGTTTGAAGATTTTTTTTTTAAATGTGTCGCTCAATTTATACCCAATAAAATATTTTAGAGCTTGGCATAATTAGAAAAACATTTTCTGCTCTAGAAATCACACTTTTAAAATAAGACTTCCTTGTATATAATTTTCCATAAATGTGAGAATCCAGGCTCTTTTAAGACAAACAATTAATTAAAATAACATTATATAAAACCACAAAAAATCTGAAAGTTTCTTAAAGGGTTAGTTCACCCAAAAATGAAAATTAGCCTGTGTTTTACTCACCCTCGAAGCATCCTAGGTGTATGTGACTTTCTTCTTTCAGACGAATCCAGTCGGAGTTATATTAAAAATGGTCCTGGCTATTCCAAGCTCTATCATTGCAGTCAGCGGGTGTTGCAGTTGAACAGTCCACAAGTCGTCAAATAAAGCGCGCGCACCTGTAATAAAATGTGCCTCACACGGCTCCAGGGGGTGAATAAAGGCCTCCTGTAGTGAATCCATGCGTTTTTGTAAGAAAAATATCCATATTACAAATGTAATAAACACTTTTCTCTCACTTCCGGTACCTGTTAAACGCGGAAGGCGTTCCGGCAGATGACGCAGCACGTATGTGCAGCACGCCTCTGAGAAATAATAGTCTCGCGAGTTTGTTTATAGGAGCAAAGGAGGCAACGTTTCCTTACTTTAGCAAAGGAAAACCAGTCTCCTCTTGGTCTATATCGAAATCCTCCGACATTTTTCTTTACAAATCCTCGGTTTGTGCTTCTAATTCGTGACCGGCATTTTGTTTTGTTCTCTCTCCGCATTCGTCACTAATCACGCAAAGTCGACGTACTACGTCATCCGCCGGAACGGCTTCCGCGTATGACAGTCAGTGAGAAAAGTGTTTATTACGTTTGAAATATGGATATTTTTCTTACAAAAACGCATGGATTCACTACAGGAGGCCTTTATTCATCCCCCCGGAGCCGTGTGAGGCACGTTTTATTATGAATGCGCGCTTTATTTGACGACTTGTGGACTGTTCAACTGCAACACCTGCTGACTGCAATGATAGAGCTTGGAATAGCCAGGACAATTTTTAATATAACTCCGACTGGATTCGTCTGAAAGAAAAAAGTCATATACTAGGGTTGTGCCGATAGACGATAGTATCGTGTATCGACGATAGACAGATATCACGTGTGGCTGATGCCTTTGATGATAGCAAGACAATTATTATTATTATTATCAGGCTAGTAATACTATCTAATTAATATTAGGGCTTATTTGTTGCATTATATTTCTTTTTCTGCGTTTTTACAGTATTGCGCGTTCTAACCAATCACACACGATTATGCTGAGCTTATGAATGCAATGGCCAATTCTCTCCTCATTAACAACAAAGTGCAGATGTACATGCAATGTAAGTATAAGAAATTTATTCATCATACAGTGTATATTCACTGATTTTAACGGGAGTGTTTTTAAAGTGCATAAACTCGCGCTAGACTGAGTTTGTGATGACGTTCTTTGGTAATGTAATGTTCTTTGCTTGTTTTCTGTAGCTGCTTTTTGAATAACTGAGGAAACGATAGGACGATATGAAAATTGAGCATATCGCCCAACACTATCATATACACATAGGATGCCTCGAGGGTGAGTTAAATACAGGCTAATTTTCATTTTTGGGTGAACTAACCCTTTAAGTCATCTTGAGGCCCCCTTGGAAGTTTGCTGAAGTTTCCCGGTAATATAATTGGTTGAGAACCACTGGTACAGTGTATATATAGGGCCCTATGAAATCCGTTTTTTCCCCCCAAATTCCTTAAAAATTTTTTCCAAATTCAGTTTTTTTCTATTTAAAATTTTCTGGGTTCTGTTTTTTTCTGTTTTAATTTTTCTAGACTCTGTTTTAATGGTTAAATTAAAATGTATTAATCAAAAAGCATGTCTAATTAATTTAAATCATGAAACTTACACAATTTAACAGCAATTTATTTAAAGTTGAACAGAAATTACATTTTTAAAGCCTTATGAAATACGTTTTATTTTTTTTCTGAAATATAGTTTTATTTTTGCCAAATTCTGTGTTTTCCAGTAATTTTCTGGATTCCATTTTAATTGTTCATTAAATCTGAATAATCAAAAGCATCTCTAAATAATTGATTTTATTAAAACCTTTTTTTTTTTTTTTTCAGAAATACTGTATTTACATTTTTCTGGTAAATGAATTCTGGTAAATCATTTTTCTAGTAAATATTCCTTAAAATAATGTTTTAATTTTGTTAGTAGTAGTACTATCATTACATTAAGTAATATATTTCTGTCACAATTTAAACCAAACTTTTATTTTGATGGGTTGTTGTGAAGACCTTTAAATTTCTCTGTTTATATGATATGACAATAGTTTTTCTCAGAAGAAATGCTCATGAAGTACTCTCAGAGCAGTTCTAGAGATTATTCATGTGATCATGTACTCATTGAGTCTGAAAACACAGCGAGCATTTAAATAGTATTTTGCGGCTTAATATTCATAAATACTAGTCCATATCGTTTTTTGATTTAAGTGTACTGACCTACTTTTGATTTATTCATCCACAATTTGGCAAATTCCATGACATTCCACGCTTATACAATAAATTCCATTTCTATGACTGGATAACGTAAATTTTCCACATCGCGGAAATCATAGGGCCTACATATACCATTTAGTTTTCAGTATTTTGATTCTTTCTTGATGTCTTCTCACATATAGTGAGCATCTTCTCATCTAAAAACATAGTTTTAAAGTAGTGTGGAAACACTATTGCTGCTTCTGTGAATAAGTGGACATTTCCTCTCTTACCACTTCTGTTTCCTTCCTGGAATGTGCTGGGACTGGCTGCCTGCCTGCACACACCTCCAGAGTAGGCAGTGGCAGAACGAAAACCGTACGCAGGTTTACTCGCTGTGTACGGTGAGGACATTGCACCATAGGCAGAGTCACTGGGGTCAACCGAATAGCGCTTTGGGTCCATTGAATCGCCATGGTAATCGTCCACCATTGAGTCTGCTGCACAAAAAGAAATACAATTTAGGGAAAATAATGCATGCAAAGGCTAATTATTGCTTTCTTGAGTGCAGATTGCCCTGCATGGTCCTGCAACCAAATTTTACACATACATGCACAATGAATGAATGGTAAGAAAACACATCTTTATATTTATTTTTTCACTCAAAACAAACATTTTAAAAACATTAAATATCATTAATGATATCATTAATCAGGTTGTTCAATAAATATATAAAATCAATTAAATGAAAAAGTAAATTAAAGAAAGAATTACTATATATAACCAAAATAGTATTTTTATGTAGTTGTAGTATTTTTTAAATGTAGTTTATGTAGGTCAAATTATGGGGTAGACAGTGGTTTCTGCCGCAGCAAACACAGCTGTCTGCAGGAAACACTAATATACATAAAGTGTATATAGGCACCTTCGAAAGTAGGTTTTCCTCTCTTAACCACGTTAACCATTGACATGGGATTGAGTCATGACAGAACCTTTGCCTGTGTAGCTGTGTGGCAAGATTCAGTGTTATACTGAAGTTAACGGTCTAATCTCTAGAGCTCCAAAACCACATTCAGTCAGGAATGAGAGAGAGAGAGAGAGAGAGAGAGAAAGAGGGAGCCAACAGAATTTAAACACTCAAACCACAGGCCACTCACTAAGGCACTCAACCTTTCACTGCCACTTAAAAAGCTCAGCTTGCACTAAAGGCCTCCTCTGCATTTTCAGAAGGGCAAATTTGACAGCAACAGAAAAGAGTGCAGATGCAATAAAATTGCCAAATTACAAAACATCCAAAACCAAAAAGACAAAAAACAGTCTAATATATAAAATCTAAGTTATGCTGTGTCGATTGTATAGGGACAGATGTAAATACAGCTCTATTAAAGGGTAGAAGAACAGAGGTCACGTAAAAGCTTGATGAGCACGCACTTGACTTGGGCTGTCCGTCTGAGTGCTTTTCAGCGTGGAATGAAGAAGAGGAGGAGGGAGACGATGAAGGGGCGATAGGCTGGTCACTGAAGAGGTTCTCACACAACAGGCTTCGGCACAACTTCTTGAGGAAGCGTAGGACGTAGCCCACGCTGTTGACCACTGGCAAACTCAACAAATGCTGCTTACCATCAAAGGTGGCTGAGGAAGAGAAACAAAGAGTGTTTAAATTCAAGTAAATTGCACATTGTTGGAAATTGTGTTAATACTTAAGCAGCAACACTTTATTTCACAGAGTCTGCGTTATACATATTAGACGTTACATTCAGTATTGCATCAGAGTGGCCGATGCAAATGCGAATATCTTTTAATATATGCAACATTTTAAATACGTACTACAGTTGTTTAAATTAATTTGTAATAATTTGTTAAATTTTGAACTTAATATAAAATACGAATACATTTATAAATAAATATTTACTTTGAAGCATGAAAACAGAAATTGTGCATTATCAGTTAATATAGATGATGGTAATATTATCTGATAATCGTTCAAGTGGGTGTAGTTATTATTGATGATAACCTCAAAATGGCCAAACATTGACAGATTAATCTGCTCTGGACAATATACCTATCAATCACATAATTAAAATTGTGCAAATTGTTTTTGAAATAAATCTCCTATGCTCACCAAGGCTGAATTTATTTGATAAAAATATAGTAAAAAAAAAACAATAAAAAAGCAAACAACATATTTTAATACATTTTAAAATGTAATTTATTCCTATGATGGCAAAGCTGAATTTTCCATTACTCCAGACTTCAGAGTCACATGATCATTTAGAATTCTAATATGCTGATTTTATACTCAAGAAACGTTTCTTAATATAATCAATTAATATAATTAAATGTTGTTGAAATGTTGTATGAACTCTTGTGCTGATGAATATTTTTGTAGAAACGATGATTAATTTTTTCAGGATTTTTTGATGAATAGAAAGTTCAAATTAACACTATTTATTTGAAATAGAAATCTTTTGTAACATTATAAAATGACTTTACCATCACTTTCGATCAATTTAATGCATCCTTGCAGAATAAAAGCTGCAATTAAATAAAAAAAATTTTTTTTATCTTACCAGCCTCAAGCTTTTGAACAGTGCATATAAAGGATGAACATCAGAATGCAGAACAATAATCAGAATGAAGACACGCATTTGTGTTGGCATGCAAATTAACCTGAGATCTTTTCTCCCCCGTAGCCCTCAGTAAGCAGGGTGAAGACGGCTTTCTGCTGAAACGCGCTGTCAATGCAGCCCTGTACTGCCTGCTGCAGCACCACAGAGGGCCTGGCAGGACCCAGGTGATCGGGCAGCTGCAGCACCTTCTGCCTGTCCAGGTTAGGACCCGTGTTCACATGCTTATTCACGTAGATACACACTGTAATAAGATGGAGAGATTTTAGAGATGGAGAAAAAGAGAGAGATGAACAGAAAGAAAGATATTTCTTACAGTCACTGTGTAGAATTAGCAATATCTGCATTTATAATGAAATAAGCATGATATAAAACTGCTGTAATGGCATATCTTTTTATCAGTTCACATTCAAGTCATTGTCTGATTACCTTAGAGAAACAAAAAAAGCAAAGTTAAACACCACAGTTAATTGCAATGCTATGCAGGGTAATTAGCTTTGATCTTGCTTTTGAGAGTTTTGAAAATGAGTTCATTTGGTTAGCTGGTGATGTATCCTTAAGTGTTTGTGTAACTGTAGCAATAAGTAACTTTAAAAGCACAGTAAATTAATAGCACAAATAAATAACATGTCACCACAATAATCCAAAATTAATTAATGAGCTATAAAGACAATGCCTATGTAATTGTGCAACACACATACACAGTACATGTCTGAGATTTTACTTTTAAATCCATTGACTCAAATATTTGTCAAGGAATCTTCAAATATTTGAGACCACTTTTACAGATAATTTCCAGAGGTCAGGAAAGGAGAACTGCATTTCATATACAAGAAGATATCATGTCCTTATCATGGGACCCAAGAGACAAGCAATAAAAGAAAGGGTGGGAGGCAAAGGAGAAAAGACATGAAAATAAAATCTCGGCTCTGGTGACAGCTTAGGTTTCTTGCATTATGAACAGTGTTTTATCCTGTGTATTTAAATAGTTGTTTACCTGAAAAAGGAATAATTCATCAAAACTAAACCTGATTTAAAAGTATAATTAAAATACTAAATTCACACACTTAGAAATACAAAGCATAATACAAATAAATCTTGCTGCTCTTCTTGAGGTAATGTCTTTATACTATATCACATGCTGCAAATCATACCCAAAAATCATCTGTGGTTTTATGAGCCAACCGCAAGCAATAGATTTTTGATTACCCTAAATAAAACTAACCCTCCCCTCAATAGGAACCATTTCCATGTATTCATTTATCTCAAGTGGCTTACAAACGAGGAAAAATACAAGCATGAGCGAGTCATCTTAACAAAAAACAAGAGGTTTTGTATGCATTACCACAGAAACAAAAATAGAGCCAGAAAAAGAGAGAAAACAGCCTGTGTAGGAATCCACCAATCACTTGCCCCCCTCCCAAATCCTCCCACACAATCTGTCCCCACTGACTTCCCTCGCTCGTCTGCAGCATGCGGATGCTTTAATCTGACAGATTGCCATGCTGAGGGATTTCCTCCGTCGTCTGTCATCTAGAAGCGCCATGACCAGGAGTCAGACACACACACACACACACCCCGTGCCGCCTATGGGCTAAAATAATCGCAAAAGTAGCCTGTGCGTGTGTTTAAGAATGTGAAACAGGATAAAGCCAATGAACATTGAGTGTGGGAGGACTGATATGACACACAAAGCTTTAAAATAGATAACTGATAGCAAGATTACTGACATGCCAGACATGTAGACTTACAGACACTGATGTTGATGAAAATGTTGCACACTCAGGAAAGGCAATATAATTTAACAAGCACAAGCAAACACGTTTTCAAGCTCAAAAGCTATTAACAATGGTCATCAAGGTCATGACCTCCACCAGCAGCCGCAACAAGTCCCTTGGCGACCCCCACAACAGTCCCACAGTTTACACACATACTGGAACACAGGTTTGTGAGCATTGAGATGTTTTGTCAAATTTCTGTCTTCAAAGAACTGCTGATGTCAAACATATGAAAGCATCAGCATGAATCTGGACAAAATGATATGGTTTTTGAAATATACTAAAGGGACTAAAAGAGAGCATGACTCTTCTGCTGTACAAAGAATTAAAGTCTAGAAACCTGGTAGGCAGACAAAAGCCTCTTGTTCGGCAACTGCTCCCTACAGCAAAGGGATTAAGCTTTGAGAACTCAGGATTGAGTTCAGCCGTACCGTCACATCTTCTCATGTTTAAAGTAGACCTAATGGAGAACCAGACAGGTGCATTGGGATGCAGCCTCCACTCATTTTGAAAGGCAGAATTTAAATCACACAAGCTGTAGTTAGGATGTGAATTTATTCTAAGCTTTTATTATTTAAATAATATTTTTATTCCACTATATAGACAATGCAGCAGAACAGAATTGATCTCTCCACTGTAATAAAGAGATAAATTGGATGATAATGCCTCCAAGGCAAGAGCAGTCAGGTCCCTCAATAATGTCCCTTGAGACTCTCACACCTATTAACCTTTAAAATAAGAGATGCAACTACTCTTTTCTCTCTGTTCCCTCTCCTTCTAGTGATGGATGTTATTGCCAATTGGATGGGCAGCCCGTGTAGACCACTGGGTCCTGACCTCAAAGATGGAGTGTGTCTGTGCCATGAAATCATTACTGGCTACATTCACACAGACTGAGTTTGGATTGACAGATCAATGGATTGAAGTCTCATCACAACTGGCACAACAATATTTGAATGCCTAATATTTAGGTGCATGGATCAGCAGTTTAAGTGGACTATATCATTAATTAAATATGCATTACCGTTCACAATTTTCAGGTCACAATTTTTTCATTAAAGCTGCAGTCCGAAACTTTTGGTAAATAAACAGAACTGCGTGAGTCTTGCGGAAGAACATTGTAGCCGGAGCTACTTCTCTCTGTTTATGTCTATGACGAATCACGGAGGTACTGGGCTACTCCGCAGCGGTACCTACCCGAACCAGTCTAAAATAGTCCGAATATAAACACTTATTATAGGTGTACCGTAGTGATTCAGGACAAGCCAAAAACACGGTTTGGAAAATGGATTCATGGTGTACTCGCTTATTATATAAATTTTGTAAATTTTGAACACAAAAAAGTGACAGACTGCAGCTTTAAATTAATCAAAAATGACAGAAGCTGAATTGTTACAAAAGATTTTTAATCTTTCTAAGAACTTTTCAAAGAATCCTGAAAAAATGTTTTTCACAAAAATATTAAGCTGAACAACTGTTGTTCAACATTGATAATAATAAGAAATGTTTCTTGAGCATCAAATGAGCATACTAGATTGATTTCTGAAGGGTCATGTGGCACTGGAAACTTGAGAAATAGCTGAAAATTTAGCTTTGCCTCAAGGAATAAATTACATTTTAAATTAGAAATCAGTTATTAAATTGGAATAACATTTCACAATATTACTGTTTTTATAGGCAATACATCCTCATAGATACTGTTGTCCTAAATAACCCGCCCCCCCAGGAACACACATCCCGTCATATCATCTTGATAAAATAACAGTTATCATAACTCCGATATATGGGTAGATTTACAGTCCCTACTGGCCACTAAGAAGAGAATGAGATGGCACTGAGTCATAATGTGACTCCTCTGAGGACAGTGATTCCTCTAATGCTCACATTTTATTATTCCCTTAATAGTAAGAGCAGGTTACTAGTTTCTGGGATTGGCACAGCAACACTGCAAATAGTAAAACTGGCAGTCTGCCGAAGTTTGTGTGTGTTTGTTACCTGTGAGGACCTGTGGGGTGGCTGAGTGGGGGATAGTAGCAGCGTCCTGGGGAATTGAACTCATGTCTGGCTCCGGGGTGCTGCTGGGAGGAGAGATGGCTAGGGGTGTCATCAAGCGAGACTTCAGCTAAAAACACACACACACACACACACACACATTATATTTATTATTATTGTTATTAATAATAACATTTTATATGATAATATTTAGATATTTATAAAACATAAATGTAACATATATATTATGAGATTTTTATATTATAATAAAAAACATCCCAATGTATATTTAATATCATATTATTGTTATTATTATTACAGTAATATACATCTATACGTCTTTAAAGGCAGTAAAATATATTTTTTTTAAACATGTATTGTCCTAATCATATATATAATAAAACATCTAATGCAACACACAAAAGACTATTATGAGTTAAAGAACACAAGGCTCAGATATCTAGATATTAATGTTTTCTTTTTAAAAATGACATGCTATGTTAAACTGAGCAGGAACAATCCAGACGGACGTCTCTATTTGTTCTCTATTTAGTGAGTCACACTCCAATACAATAAAATCACAAATTAAAATGCAGCCAAATACCACCGTTTCTGCTATACAGTCAAACCAAAAATTATTCAGACACCAGATATAATTTTTGATATATTTTTTTACTAGTGGGTGCAGGACACTATAGTTAATTTATGTAAGTGAGCATAGCAAAATATATTAAACTGTGACATATTATACACAAAAATTCTTCATACAGTGGACTACCAGTAAAATTGATAAAAAATTTGGGACCAAAAATTGTTTTGACCTGACCATGTTTTGCTTAAGTGTTTTTTCTTTAATTGCTAATGTGACCTTTTTACACCACAGACTGAACAAAATTTAGCATTGCTTGGTAATTGGTTGACCTAAATTGGTATTATCTAATTGTGTACTTAAATTTAACAGCTGACAGCTATTCAACCTAATTCATTACATACCTTTCTATCAAAGTTATCTGACATTATCAAGATGAATTTGTTCTGACACAGTTTAACTCTGAGTTCTTGTCATATTTTATTACCATTTTCTAAACAATAGCAAATAAACTGTAATAATGTGAGAAATGTTGAAGGTGTCTGAATAAATTTTGGTTTGACTGTACATCAATTAATTTGCTTGGTTTATTTAAAAGTTTTTGAACTCGGGACGGCTCACTTCAAAAGCAAGATACGTGAGACTGGACCATATCTTGCCTAGGGCACCACATTTTGGGGTTCCCCTTGTCCAAAAGCCCTATTTAACCCTTTTTACAGAGAATGTGTTAACAATTTCCTGATAGACAGGAAATAACCCTATTAAGTAATCGTAAAATGATGTAAAATATGTGTTTTGGAAGATAAACTGTCCCTAACACTGCTATAGAAAGCAATAACCATCAGGTTTAGGTTAAGCAAGAATGTATTTGCACTGTGTCTACTGCAAATCTGCTAACATGCACACACATTGTGTTAGTGTGTTGCTCTTTAAATCAGCAGCAGTGACATTATGAGGCTTGTGCTCAGGCACATGGCTAAAAATAACTCAGCAGCAGCAGACTGCAGATACATCAGTCAAAGAACAACCACCCTATCACCTCCTTCTCTTGTACAGTCAACATCAGATGGGCCTACCTACAAAGCATTACTCTGTTCCTCTAGCTAAAGCATCATAAGTGTTACATACGCACCATTATGCACTCAAATGCACCACTTGATGACATTTATGCATTTAGTAGACACGTTAGAACAGTGAAAAGGCCTTATCTTTGTGGCCTACGCATGCATGCGTGTATTTAAACAGACACACAACCACTGATATTTACTGACCTTAAAGCCAGGCTTCCTCCCTCTCTTCTTAGGCACTTTAATGGGTGGGAGGGATTCTGGGTAGCGACTCTGATATTCTGGGTGCCTCTTTAGGGGTGGGCGACCCCTCTTGCGACCTGGAACTTTTCCACTTGGGGGCGGGAAGAAGGAGGGGCTAATGGCCCCAGGTGATTGCATCTCTCCACCCCCTGACTGAACTGATGCAGCAGCAGGAATACTCATCAGACCTGAGAGAGAAAAACACAATGACAGAATGTTAAACTGTATTTACATAGATATTTAATCATTTTAATACATTAGGTAGCATGTTTTTCTTGATTTATAGTAAAATTGTCATTCTGCATCATGTGTTGGAGATTTTACTTTACAAATACATTGAATTGTATAAGGAGTACATGTGTCTACTAATTGGATATTTATAAGTTATAAACAAAAACCAAGAAAAAAACACAACTTTTTAATATCCAACCATAAATTCATCATAAAACTCTTCAACACACCACTAACTAAAACACGCATACAGAGAAATATATGTAGTCAAGTATGAAATTTTGGGTTCCCACACCTTTAGACCAATGAATTTCCATGATTTTTCATTCGTCAGTCATTCGTGATTACTGGATAATTTTAGTAATCTGAAAGAAAAAAAATATATAAAAATAAACAATATAGCAATTTTAGCTGATGAAAATGTATAACTGAGCATAACTATAGAAATTATTAAATTAGAAAAGATTTTACATATGTGACCCTGGACCACAAAACCAGTCATAAGGGTCATTAAAAAAAAAAAAAAGAGAGAGATTTATACATCATAAAAAAGCTTTCCATTGATGTACGGTTTGTTAGGATAGGACAATATTTGGCCGAGATACAACTATTTGAAAATCTGGAATCTGAGGGTGCAAAAAAATCTAAATATTGAGAAAATCGCCTTTAAAGTTGTCCAAAGTTTCTGCAAAACAAATGAATTGTATTGTAATGCCAGCTGTAAAAAAGCTACTGCTGAGCAGCAAACAGGTGTTTGCAGCTACTGGAGTCTCAAGATCCTCTCCATGCAGACGGGCAGTTGTGTGTAAAGCTGCATTTCAGTCACTGCTAACCAAACCTCACAAAGAGAAACCTGCACAGTGGCTGTAGAAACACATTTTCAAACAGTTTAGCACCATGGTATTTATGCAGCATGGGATAGTGTGTTGTCCTGCAAGAAAATCCTTTTATTTCCAAGAGCACTATTCTTCAATTATCTATTGAACTTTCAATTATATTTTGCATTTTATTTATTAGGATATTCATTTCCATGTCTTTTCCAGGCATAGAAATCACAGTTTTAAGATTCCCTGATATTTCCAGGTTTTCTATGTCAGTGGGAACCCTGGAATTTCCCTTTCCCTTAAAGGGATAGTTCACCTAAAAATGAAAATTCTGTCATTAATTACACACCCTCATGTCGTTCCAAACCCGTAAGACCTCCGTTCATCTTCAGAATTTTTTTTCTTTTGTGCACAAAAAGTATTCTCGTACCTTTGTAATATTACGGTTGAATCCCTGATGTCACATGGATTATTTTACCGATATGAATAACTCCTTGTTACGTTTTTTGTAATATTACGGTTGAATCCCTGATGTCACATGGATTATTTTACCGATCTCCTTGCTACGTCTCTGGACGTTGATCGTATAAGGACCCTTGCTGTCTATGGGAGGGTCAGAGAGCTCTCAGAATGCATCAATAATATCTTAATTTGTGTTCCAAAGATGAACGGAGGTCTTAGGGGCTTGGAACGACATGAGGGTGAGTAATTAATGACAACATTTTCATTTTTTGGGTGAACTAACCCTTAAATTTACAGAAAACAAACATCAAACCAACCAAAACAAAAACCGTTTGAATTAAAATAACAGTCAATGCTTTAACATATTCATTCTGAGATTTCAACTCAAACACATGACCACAGCTCAAACACTGCAACCGGTGCAACCTGCAAACTAGCAGCTGTTCCTGGAAACATCACAGTGAAACAAACAAGATAAGAGTACTTAGTACTACAACAGCAATGCAGTCCAATTAAAAAATAGAAACAATGTGCAAAAAATATAACATACAGACCATCCATAATTACATACTACAATCATATTTATTGTGTAAATACCAGAAAAACATACTTCACAAACCCTACACATATGAAACTGGGCTGGTATGAATTATTTGAAGAACAAAAGCTTGATGGTGAAGCTGTGAGGTGGCCTACACTGTGCAGACTGTGGAAGAAACAGACACTGAGCCACATAAAAGCATCTTCACTATCCTCAGCTCTTCCAACTCTCTCTCTCTCTCTCTCAGTCAGTCCCCCTCCCCCAGTCCTCGTTCACTCTCATCCCTGGGACCTTTTAAGGTGGAATTTTAGGATATAATTATTTAATTATGATTTCTTGGACAAAGAAATTAGTAATACATATTATGAATTACTTCTCATAACTACAGTTAAAAGTATAATAATAATAATAATAATAAAAATAATAAAATAGGGATAATTATTGATCATTTTAATTATTATGCTACCTTCTAATTATTTGTATTGATTCTGTGACTGACACAGAACACACTACTTTCATATTCAGTTTTTTTAAAGCCTGGGTAGTAAATATGCCATGCAATCTATGAAGTGCATTCACTTTAGTCTGCACAGACAATAGACAGTTTGAAGCTCAGCTGTGAGATTACAAAATGAAATGAATCTACTTTGCTGCTTTTTAAGAAAAGCATTCATGAGACTAAATGACAAATAGTATGAATGCAAAAAGTTATCTGCACAAAACATCAATTAACATGTCATGTGATATATTATAAATGAAATATAAAAGAAATCGTCTATTTTAGTTATTATTATTTGTTTACAAGACAGATAGGGATGACCCTAATTCCAAATTATTTTCATATGCACTTTCTAAACATCAGATTATTTCCACTCGCCTGCTCTCTCTCTCTCCCATGCATCAACCAGGCCATGCGTAATTACATTAATCTATTTCTTACGCACAATGGTTTTTCTTGATGGTGAAGCTGTGAGGTGGCCTACACTGTGCAGACTGTGGAAGAAACAGACACTGAGCCACATAAAAGCATCTTCACTATCCTCAGCTCTTCCAACTCTCTCTCTCTCTCTCTCAGTCAGTCCCCCTCCCCCAGTCCTCGTTCACTCTCATCCCTGGGACCTTTTAAGGTGGAATTTTAGGATATAATTATTTAATTATGATTTCTTGGACAAAGAAATTAGTAATACATATTATGAATTACTTCTCATAACTACAGTTAAAAGTATAATAATAATAATAATAATAAAAATAATAAAATAGGGATAATTATTGATCATTTTAATTATTATGCTACCTTCTAATTATTTGTATTGATTCTGTGACTAAATACACCGAACACGCTACTTTCATATTCATTTTTAAAGGGTGGGTAATAAATATGCCATGCAATATGTGAACTGCATTCGCTGTGCATAGTCTGTACAGACAATAGACACCTTGGAGCTCAGCTGTGCAGGCAGAGATAATAAAATTACATGAATCTACTTTTCTGCTTTTCCAGATAAACATTCATGAGACTAAATGACAAATAGTAAGAATACAAAAAGTTATCTGCACAAAACATCAATTAACATGTCATGTGATATATTATAAATGAAATATAAAAGAAATCGTCTATTTTAGTTATTATTATTTGTTTACAAGACAAATAGGGATGGCCCCAATTTCAAATTATATTCATATGCACTTTATAAACATCAGATTATTTCCGCTCACCTGCGCGCGCTCTCTCTCTCTCTATCCCATGCATCAGCCAGGCCATGCGTAATTACATTAATCTATTTCTCACGCACAATGGTTTTTCCTACATCTACACGATTTTATCCTACTTCCAATGACAGAAACCCCCGCAAAACGTCCAGAAAGCAGCCTGAGAGAGAGAGAGAGAGAGAGAGAGAGAGAGCCATTAAAAATAGAGCGTCAAAAATAGAGCACCGTTCCACATGCGCGTGTTCATGTTTACGAGCAGCGTTGCATTGCGCGAGCTCTTCCTTCCTTATCTCCTAATCTCACTGCGAAATCAATGGCACGTAAAGACATTTTAAATGTATGAACACTCACCGAGTTCCCAGCGCTGGAGCGTAAACGTTATCAGCAATGTCAAGAATAACGTATCAAACTCGCTTCCGTGCCTCTGTCGCTTCACAGACCGGCCGCTTCTGAAAGCCCCGCCAGCCCTGAGAGCCACGGCGCGCTCGCGATACCACCGCGCGCTCCGCAGCCGCTACTTCGTCCCCTTTCTGTCGTCATGGCAACTAGGCGCCTAACATCCTCCCTTTGCCATAGTCATAAACTGATGCAGAGCCTGCGGAATAATTTACACTACAGTAGCGTTTAGAGCAGCCAAGACTCCCAAAACGCTATGAGTAGTAGCCTATTTTTCAAATCAGCTAGAACAAATCGCCATCCTCGTTGTATAGACTTAAAAAATCCTCAGAAAAAAAGACGCATAACGGACCGTTCACATATCGCGTCTTTTGCGCGCTCAAGTTCGTTATTTCAAATGTAGACGCGCGGCAGGCGCGCTCATAATGGAAGCGACGCGGTCGCGACGCCAATGCGGTGCGACGCGCTCATCTTTTCCAGGCGCGATCGCGCCGCATCGAGATAAACACATTTCATCTTTTCAGAATGCCGCAACCGCACCGCGGGTCATGTGACAAGAACCAACCAATCAGCTTCATCCTTTCCCGTAACAACATTGAAAGCTCAGCCAAGATGAAGGAACAGCTGATCATAGCTGTACAGGGATAGCCATTTTTTAAATAAATTTAGTAGTAGAGCTACTGCAAGCGATTTTTAGTGCTGCAAATCCATTTACACTTTGCTGAAACTTCCGCGTCTTCATGGACAGCGCTTCATGAAGACGCGGAAGTTTCAGCAAAGGATAAATATATTTGCAGCACTAAAAATCGCTTGTAGTAGCTCTGCTACTAAATTTATTTAAAAATGGCTATCGCTGTACAGCTATGATCAGCTGTTCCTTCATCTTGACTGAGATTTCAATGTTGTTACGGGAAAGGATGAAGCTGATTGGTTGGTTCTTGTCACATGACCCGCGGTGCGCTTGCGGCATTCTGAAAAGTTGAAATGTTTTTATCTCGATGCGGCGCGGAAGCGCCTGGAAAAA